AACCCATGACTCGTGCCGAGGGCCACTTATCTGTCATCACCAAGATTGTCTCGATTCAGGAACTTAGGTATGAAAGGGGAAGGTCGTGAAATGCATTTGAGCACCCCCACTCACCCGATCAAAGATCGGCCTTTACTAATCATGATGCAATTCTTATTCATATTATATGCTCTTGTTCCGATTATTAGTCTAGCTTTACTATGTGATACATACAAGTATAGACTAATTTTGCAAATATTGGAATACTTGATTCATGTTTGTTTTGAAAAACAAAAGTGCTTTGAATATGTACCACTTGAAAAAGTGATAGCATATGAACATTATTGAAATTAATGGATATTTTAATCTATTTGGTAATAGTTAGGGTTTTGATAAAAATGCCCAAAAATCAACAGTCTATATATATTTTTGGTATGGTTTTTTTTTTCCTGAAGTGTGCAGCGGTTGATTGATCTTTTCGGTGTGTGTGCTTGGATATTAATTCGGTGAATTTGGTTCTTTGTGTAATGCTGTTGTGTGTGTTTTGTTTTGGGGTGCTCCACTTTGTTGTTACTTTCACAAAGTTTCGAAATCTGTTTATGATTTGGCGGTGGTTTGGTTCAGATTTGTGGTTTTATTCAATTCTGTTTTGAAGACAATTTATTTGTCTATTTAGTGAGGTCTTTCCTCTATTTATTTGTGATTAATTGAAATTCACTTAAGGGTAGTTTGTGAGACCATTCATGTATCGTTTGTAATCGTTTGAATACTCTTGGTTGCTAGTGGAATTGAATTATGGTTCCGTAGATGTACCTCACATTAAGGAAACCACATAAAAATTCTTGTGTCGTTGATTTAATTTTTCCGCAATATTTTTTATTTCTTTCGATTGATTTATTTGTGGGAAATCATCTATTTTCCCTAACAACTGGTATCAGAGCTTATGGTTTAATTGAGTTCGTTTGTTTGTGTAAATCAATGGTGGAGAATGTGGGTCTTATGGTCCCATTGAGGGTGATAGTGGCAAACTCGATGGTATGAAAGATGATGAATGGAAGAGCCTTAATCGAAAAGTCGTTGGTGTTATCCGTCAATGGATTGATGATAGTGTGTTTCATCATGTTGCTACTGAAACTTCGGTACATGATTTATGCAAAAAATTAGAAGGTCTTTATGATAGAAAATCTACCACAAATAAAGTTTTTCTGTTTCGTAACTTGGTTAATTTAAAATATACAGAGGGCAACCTCATTCCAGAACATCTAAATAAAATGAAGAGTATTGTTAATCAACTTGTTTCTATGAAAATTGTTTTTGATGATGAGTTGTAAGTTTTGATGCTACTTAGTTCTTTACTAGAAAGTTGGGAGACTTTGGTTGTAACTGTTAGTAATTTGGCACGCGATAGAGTTGTCCCAATGAGCCAAGTCACTAGTAGCTTGTTGAATGAAGAAACTAGAAAAAAATCAGCGAGTTCTTCTCATTCAGAGGCATTTGTTGTCAAAGGCCGAAACAAAACAAGGGGGAGGAGTAAGACTCTTGGTCATGCTCAAAGCCATGACAAATGAAGAGACGGTTCTTTTTCAAAGAAAGACATTGAGTGCCATTATTGCCATGAGAAATGGCACATGAAGCAGGAATACCGAAAGCTTAAAAACAAGGAGAAAAAGCTGTGACAAAAGTGTGGATAAGAAGCAAAAAGGCACAACGACAGTTACTACCGATGATCTCACATGGTTGTTTGTGAAGATGATTGTGTCAATTTTGTGGGCCAAGAGAGTAATTGGGTGATTGATTACGACACTTCATTTCATGTGACTTTCCAATTTGATTTGTTCACTTCCTACAGCAAAGGAGATTATGGTTCTGTTCGAATGGGAAATGAACGTTTGTCCAAGATTGTTGGCATGGGTGATGTTTGCTTGGAAACAAATTTGGGCTGTAAGTTGTTACTTAAAGATGTGAGGCATATTCCCGAATTCGCATCAATTCGATCTCTACTGCGAAGCTAGGTGATGAAGACTATAATAACAAATTTGGTGATGGAAAATGGAAGCTCACAAAGGGATCTTTGGTGGTGGCTATGTAACGCCCTCAAAATAAACCCATAAATCATACATTCAAGACATCGATAACCTTAAGAGAATAAAGCATAATTCTATTTATCAGAGTATTCATCAGAAAAGTATTACATGTTGACATCAAAAGTAAATGCCCTACGGGCTTACAACTTTCCAAGCCAACACTTGGTTACAAAAAGGAGAGTACTAACTCAAAACACAAAATAAGCCCTTGGCTTCACTACAAGAAAAAACACCTTTAGTGACCACCTATTTTTAGTTGGTCACAAAAAGTATAGTAATCTGCCGCCAAAATTTATTTTGGTCACAGATGATGTTGTTTTAGTGATCAACATTTTTTTGGTGGTTAATAGTTAAGTATTTGCTACCAAATACAAAATGTGGTCGCCAAAAGTGATGGCGGAAGCGCGAAAAAAAAAAGACGGGACATGAAATCTTTTGGCTACCAGTAGATTTTGGTCACAAAAAAGAAAAAAGATACAAAACTACGTCATTTTGAAATTCTTAAATCAAAAAAATGTTACCTGAGCCTTGATCTTCCCTCATTGTTGCCCTCTTCCTTAATAAAAAAAAACTTTTCCTGTTTCCTTGAGCTTCCGATCGGTTCATCAAACCCTACCCACTATCTCCTCACTTCGTCCCCTGGGTTTGCTGCTCTTCATCTTCGCCTCCGCCTTGTATTCACCAGGTTAGTGTCTCTCTCTCTCTCTCTCTCTTAATCTCTCTCTCTCTCTGTTCATGTATATATATATATAATCGATCGATTGACCATCCTTTTTCATCGTTGCAACTCCTCACTTCAGATCGGTTCATCAAACCCTTTCGGCTCTGCCATTGTGCTTACCAGGTCAGTCTCTCTCTCTCTCTCTCTCTCTCTCAATATACAACGATTTTTTTTTAATTTTTGAATCCCTTTAATCAGTCTTGTTTCATCGAATGCTCTTTGCAATTTGTCAACTCACTGCCCTCATTTTTTTTTTTCCAGTGAAGAATCCATATCTATGTCTATATCTATATCTCTATCATTAGAGTTTCATACATACTTTCTGATTTTTTTTTTAATCTCTATCGTTTGATTTTCATACATAGACTTTCTGATTGATTTGTAATCGATCTGTGCTTCTCTCTTATTTTTCTTTTATACCCTTGTGTTTGTATATTTGTTTTTGATGCAAGATTGTTTTTTTTTTTTTTGAAAATTTTCTCTTCTCTGTTTGTTTGCTGAGAAAACCGAGCATTAGAACCAAATACAATTAAAAATTAGCTTCATGATTAGTAACCCAACTGGTCTTGGCTTGTTGCAGATGCTAATCTTACCTGTATATATATATAGATGCAGGACTTGTGTGCACACTACACACAGGACTTTGTTTTCCCCCCTTGTTTTTGCTGTTGTTTGGCTGCAAAGAATTGTAGATGAAAAGAAGGAAAATTACTGTGTCAAGTACTACTGAAGTAGTGATCAATCTTTGAAAAAAAAGTACTACCCAAGAAGTGCTTGTGACAAATTCCAAAGATTTTCCCTAAACCCAAACATGTGCAAGTGAATTTAAAAAAAGAAAAAAGAAAAGAAAAAAAAAGTAGATGAATAGAGAAGGAGAAGATTACAGTGTCTATCAAGAACCTAAGTATAGTGTTTGTGAGAAATTCCAAATATTTTCCTTGAACCCAAACACATGCAGGTGTTCTGAGGAAAAGATTATAAAGATATATGTGATGAGATATCTTCACCTGTATAAGATTTTGTTTTATTTTATTTTGTTTTGGGTGGAAAGTTTAGAGAAACCATCATCTCTAGTTGAACAAACAAACACTAAGATAAACTGAAAGAAATATAGTACCCCATGGTAGTTAGGCCAATGAATTTATAGTTGGAAATCAAAGTCAAAAAGCTGAAAAAGCTTATCTCACTTACCTAATTGTTGTTATTAATTTGATTTCCACCAAACATCATATATCATCATTTAATCCGCTCATCAAAATGCAACATTAATCTTTTAACAATTTAATAATTAGATGTTTTTAATTTATTTAACTTATTCTTACCTCCTATGTTGTAAAAAAAATTAACACTTCGATAATTTCTTTAAAAAAATAATAATAATAATACTACAAATTGTACACAACAAATAATTTATTTGACAAATCTATAAGATGAAGATATGGTTCATTGAATATATCTGTAGACTTTATTAAAAAGCATTCCCACCATTCCTTTCTTATGTATGTATTGGATATTCTCTTTTCTCTCTCCCTGTTGGATGTCCATAGTGTCGGTCCTAGGTCATCCTTTTTGCACTATATCAGTGGCGCACTAACTCAGATGTGCAATGAAATTTACGCACTCACTTGTTTCACCTATTAATCTTGAAATTTTGGATTTAAATTTAAGAATAGTCATTATGTACAAATTAGGCTGATACCCAAATCCCATCAGAGGATTAAATTTAGAGTTTTTAATGAAATTCACAATCTAGGTCTAAGATCAGATGGTCAAGATCATATATCATTATTTTTTTCAATTAATATTATTTGGTTTTTTGTGCTGTAGTAGCAGCTTCATGCTGCAGCAACAACTTCCTGTTGGTTCTTAATATTTTTTTTCTTCTTTTCTTGGCAGCAGCAGCAGTGTTCAATATTATGCTTATTGAATACTAAAACAACCATAATGGAATCAATAACTATTATAGTTGAATAATATAGGAAGGATTGTGAGATTTGATGCTTGCCTAAAGCGTATAAATAACTTTTTCACCTTATAACAAAATTAGCCTCCAAAATAGGAATAAAATTCATATTTAGTTAATTGGTTTTTGCTTTATTCACCTAACATAATCTTCACTTTGTAGGTCACCAAATATGGACAAGAGTTGGATGTCAATTAGGAATAGATTGAGTTCGGAGTATAGAGAAGGGGTTAAGTCATTTCTCTAATTTGCAATGACAAATGTTGGCGTAGATAATAGAATTCGTTGTCCGTGTATGGATTGCCTAAATTTTGAACATCATACCTTTAAGGATGTGGAATATCATTTCATCCGAAAAGGGATATCACTTTCATACAGACTTGGGTGCACCACGGGGAAACTGTTTCTGTCAATCAACCTCGTGTGTGGAATAATGACAATGACATTGAAGGTGTTGGTGATGAAGGGACAACCAATGAATGCCTTCACGTTGAAGATGAATTGTATGATATGTTAGAAGACCGTCGCATGGCGCATATTTTTGATGATGATGAAGAGGATGAGCGGTATGATAATGAGCAAAGAGAGGATGCACGAAACTTTGATAAATTGTTAGAGGATGCTCGTCGTCCATTATACCTTGGCTGTCATAAGTTTACTTTGTTACCATTTGTCATTAAGATGCTTCATATAAAAGTGTTAAACAAGTGGAGCAATAAGTCTTTTGACAAGTTGTTGGGTGTATTGAAAGACCTTTTACCAGAAAGTGATCAAAAGGTTCCATGGACCCTTTATGAAGCGAAGAAATTTTTACGTGATTTGGGTTTAGGATATGTGCCTATTCATGCATGTAAGTATGATTGTGCTCTTTTTTGGAAGGAAAATGCAAATTTAGAAAATTGTCCGATTTGTAAGAAGCCTAGATACAAACTGAGTGATGGCAAAGGTAAGAAGATACCTCATAAAATTTTGAGATATTTTCCATTGACACCAAGGTTGCAAAGATTATACATGTCGAGAAAAACAGCTGGAGATATGAGATGGCATAAAGAAAAACGTGTTGATGATGGCATCTTAAGGCATACAGCCGATGGTGAGGTGTGGAAGGATTTTGATAGGCAACATGTTGTGTTTGCCCAAGAACCACATAATGTGAGGTTAGGGTTGGCCACCGATGGTTTCAACCCTTTTGGAAATTTGAGCAACTCATATAGTATGTGGCCTTTGGTAGTTATGCCTTATAACCTACCACCGTGGAAGTGTATGAAGCAACCATTTTCCATGATCTCATTTCTTATTCCTGGACTGCAAGCACCGGGGAGAGATATTGATGTTTACTTGAGGCCATTAATTGACGAGTTGAAGGAGTTATGGGAAGATGGTGTAGTTACTTATGATGCCTCAACTAGGGCAAGTTTCCGAATGCATGCAACTGTTATGTGGACTATTAATGACTTTCCTGCATATAGTAACTTGTCAGGGTGGAGTACAAAAGGATATTTGGCTTGTCCCAATTGTAATGAGAATGCATCATCACAACGGTTAAGAAGTAAGATAGGATACACTGGTGCTCGCCGATACTTACCTGAAGACCATCCTTGGCGAAAAAGTAAGCTCTTTAATGGTAAGGCAAATGATCGAGCAAGACCTTTGGAGTTGACAGGGGAACAAATTTTAAATCAATTGGATTCAGGAACATTTAAACCATTTGGGAAGCATCCAAGCAACCATAAAAGAAAAAGGGATGAAAATACCGTCCTGAATTGGACAAAGAAAAGCATATTTTTCGAATTGCCTTACTGGAAGACACTCAAGTTACGACATAACCTCGAAGTCATGCACATAGAGAAGAACATATGTCATAATTTAATTGGGACTTTGTTGAGCATTGATGGAAAGAACAAGGACACGGAAAAAGCACGCATGGATTTAGAGGATATGAAAATTAGGAAAGATTTGCACTTAAAGAGGCGCACAAATGGGTCCTTTGAAAAGCCCATTGCATTGTTCACATTGTCCCTAAAGGAAAGACAAGGTTTTTGTGAGTTCTTAAAATCAATTAGGTATCCTGATGGATATGCAGCAAACATCTCTATGTGTGTGAGCACAAAGGGCGGCAACTTATCCGGTTTGAAAGCCATGATTGCCATGTCCTTATACAACGACTTCTTCCTATTGGAATGCGTGGGTATCTTAACAAGGACATTTCTCTTGCATTGTTTGAGCTGGGAAATTACTTTCAACAGTTATGTTAAAAAACAGTGAGGGTGAATGATTTGGAGAAATTACAAGAGAGCATAGTACTCATACTTTGCAAGCTAGAAATTTTTTTTCCACCTGCATTCTTTGATGTGATGGCTCACTTAGCTATTCACTTGCCTCGCGAAGCCATTCTTGGAGGGCCAGTGCAATATCAATGGATGTACCATATCGAAAGGTATTTTTATGCGTTTTTTGTGGAATTATATTTTTTAATATTATAGTATACCCATATATATGGTTTATATAATAATTTCCTGTTATTTGTTGAAGATTACTCGGGATTTTGAAAGGGTATGTAGCAAATCGAGCTCACCCAGAAGGTTCAATTGCAGAAGCTTACATTGTCAAAGAATGCTTAACTTTTTGCTCTATGTATCTTGGTGGGATTGAAACCGTATTTAACAGAGAGGAAAGAAATGAAGATGGTGGTGATGTTGGCTCAAGGCATTCAGTTTTTTCACAAAAAGTCCATACTTTTGGGGTAACTCAAAAGGCAGTTGACGTGTCTGAGAATGAAAGAAAAGTGGCTCATTGGTTTATCTTGTACAATAGTCCTGAAATTGATGAATATCTAGAGTATGTTCTCATTTAGTTAAGTATATGCAAAATGCTTTTCATTATGATCACACTCAAGTACTAATTATTCACATTTTATTTTTCAAGTAGAGAACACAAGAATCAATTACAAAATGCAAATGTACATGACATTACAAGACGACAACAAGAAGAATTTCCTAGGTGGTTCAAAGAGCGGGTAATATATAAGATATATAGATAATATGTAACCTCTCATCCTAAACATAATTCACTGTTCGTAGATTGATATTAACATCATGCATCCTTGTCACTTGTTCATGCAGATAAATCAATTACGAGCTGAAGGATCATCGGAAGCAACTGATGAGTTGTGGTCATTAGCTAATTGTCCTAGTCCAATAGTGAACATTTATTCGGGTTGTATTTTTAATGGCATTTGATTCCACACGAAAGAGCGAGACAATCATTGTAAAAGTCAAAATAGTGGGTTGGTTGTTCAAGGGGATCATCATGGTATGTCAATTGATTTCTATGGTCAGTTGACTAAAGTTTGGGAAATGACATACATGTTCGGGCATCGAGTTGTGTTGTTTCAATGCGAATGGTTTAACACTGGTAGCAACAGAACATTTCGCATTGAAACACATTTGACAACCATTGATGTAAGAAGCCGTTGGTATCAAAATGACCCATTTGTCTTGCCAAGTCAGGTGCAACAAGTTTTTATGTCAATGATACCAAATTAGGTGAACATTGGAAAGTCGTAGAGCGATTTCAACATCGAGGAATATGGAATGTGCCAGAGCTTGAGGATGTAGATCCCGATGATAATGAACTGCCTATTTCGAATGATGTGTTCCAGCAGGACGAGAGCACCGAAATTGTCCAAATTAGCATTGCAGATTCCATTAGCAACACTTTACGTAGTACTGATATTGCACCTGATATTATTCCAAGTCAAGTGGTTCTACAATCTGGTACAAGTGTACATGTAGAGGGTCCAAACAGAGATGATTTTATCTGTGATGATAATGATCAACATTCAAATGATCCTAGTGATGATAAAGATGAATTTCATAGTCATAGCAACTCGGATACAGATCATGATACAGAGCCTTGATTGTAATATCCTTTATTTTTCTCATTATCAAGTCATTTTCATTGTAATGTTCTGTTTAACTTACAACAGATTAAGTTTAGCAGGAGAGGGATAGGTTGAAGCTGTGCTTGTTCTACTGTCTCCTCTATGTGCTGCTGCTGAAGTGTTCTCTATTTTTTTTTCTCTTCTGTTTGGTGATGCTGCTGAATTTTTCTGAATCTGTTTATTAATCTGAATCTGCTGAATCTGTTTTGAATCTGCTGGTGTAATGCTGAAATGCGACTGCTGCTTGAATTTGTTTTTTATGCTTCTTGCTAGTTTCTCCTCTGTTTTCCTGTTGGTTTTCTTCTTGTTGGTTTCTAACCAACGGTTGTATTACTAGCGGATGTATTTGTGGTCATTATATATAATCTTCTTTTGTTTGCTGATCAAAAAAATGAAGACATGTTTAGTTATGATTCAAATTGTAATGAATTTTTTTGTTGATAATTTCATGACTTGTAATGTGGTTCTAATATTACACTATTAAGTTATCTTATAATTTCATAAATTGTCATGCATTTTAAATTTTTGCTTTTGGTTGCTTACAATTCATTTGTTAGATACAAAGACTACACATATGCCACCTGGGCAAGCCAATAAGAGGAGGTTGACGACTTCAATGTCAGAGGCAAACCTGATTGAGGTCCCAGCTCACATGTCAACAGCTCCATCTCCTATGGATGCATCTGCAAGTCTATCTCCTGTGGATGCATCTCCATCTTTGCAAACAGTTGATATTGGTAAGTGTTTCATCCTTTGTATAGAACAATTTGTTTTTTGCTCCTGAAACTGTAATCAATGTTGAGTAGTTACTATATGCTTACTCTTTTTGTAAATTAACGAAACTCATTTCATCTGTGTGATTGTTACAAATCTGGCTACATCAGTTTGTTTGTTATGTAAATTAAGCTATATTTATCATTCAATATTTCATTTGGCTACTTCTGCTTCTTAAAAGCTTGAGAGTTCTTAATAATTGTTACAGATCTGGCTACTTCTGCTTCTTAAAAGCTTTAGTTCAGCGAAGTTACCATAATATTGTAGACAAGTTCAACAGAGCACCCACCATCTTCAACTAGATCTAACAAGTAACAAATAGAACAGCAAAAGCATACCAACTTGTGCTATATTCAAGGTTGGCTTCTTTAAAAAGATAGAAGAAATCATATTATCCTAGACATAGTAATCTTATAATCATGAACATGACATAATTGCAAGCTTGAATAAAGGCATATACATTCATGATGCTTTAAACTTGAGAGTTCTTAAAATCTATAGCAACCTATATAGCAGCAGCAGCAGCAACAACCTATATACATTATATGATACATAGTAATCTTCATTCACATATGCTATTTAAAGAGAGTTCTTAAAATCTGCTCTGTATATACAGCAGTAGCAACCTATTTAGCAGCAGCCTATAATAGTGTTTCATTTTATGTTTATAATATAGGTTCATCCGTGAAACGAGTACGAGGTCCAACAAGGAGTAAGAACACTAGTAGACTCATCAGCCAACACGATGGCAAGAAGCTTTTTGTTGGAGTTTCTACAGAGCGGAGGACATTTGTGGGGCTTAATGCCACTAAGGCCGCTAGCGAATTGGGGCACAAATTCGATTGCAAGGCCCATTGCAAGGAACAAAAAATTGGGAGGACGTTCCACCAGTCATTCGAGCAGCTATCGTACAATCGTTGCGGGTGATTTAATTTTTATAGTTGTTGAGATTGATGTAATTAATATATAAGATGTTTAATTTTCATTTTGTGTTTAATTCGGACAGGATAAGTTTGAGATTGAAGGATATGATGAGAGCCCACTTCCCCAAGAAATTATTGACACAAAGTCCACACATTTGTTCAAAGGCTGGCGATATCATATGCATGAACATTACAAAGAGTTGGTGAAAGAAGGTACAGATCCTTATAGTAAACCATTTGTTGGGGTGAGCAAAAAAGATTGGAGATACACGATTGATGAAGTGTTTCTTGGTGACACACATAAGGTAATTAACTTAACAGTCATGGATGTTTCTTTTAATTGCACTACAATGAATAAATCAAAGATCCCAAGTTTCTTTGAAATTCAAATAATATACAATTATATATGAGACATAGAGTAAGGAAATTGCAGAGATGGAGGGAAAGGCATAGGAACCATGCTTGGATATTGATTTTTAAGTTAATATTTCTATTGCATTGTAGAAATGGTCAACAAAAAATATAGCCAACAGGAAAAAGTTACCCTATAATCACACCATGGGTTCAAGGTCATTTTCAGCAGCAATCTCAATTGAGGTAACATATTTTTTGTTTTAAAACTTTTAGTTAATGCTGCAATTTTTTTATTAATAATATTACTAAGCTTGCATTTTATATGTTTCATGCAGGGAATTGAAACTGGGAAGGAGCCTCACATTGTAGATTTTTTCAAGACCTCACATTGGAGTAAAAAAAAAAAAAAGATTGGATTGAACCAGTTTGTGAGGTGTTATATGTAAGTATACCTTCATTATATTTGTTATTCATATTCCTATATAATGCATAACTAGTTAGTGTACTTGTAAAATAGGATAACTGTTGATCTTTTGTTTTTTTTTTCTTTTCTTTTTTTAACACTAACAGGAAAAGATGGACCAACTTCGTGAGGAAGCTTCATAGCCTGGAGCAACCCTGCTAACACAGGAGGAAATTACTGTTCAAGTCCTTGGGAAGCGTTCAGGGTATTTGAGAGGTTTCGGGGTTGGTCCAAAGCCGTCTTCTGCATTCAATTCTACAACTAGGTCACAAGCACGTGATGAAGAGGTTAAGGGCCTTAAAGAAGAGATAGTCATGATTGTTGTAGACAATGCATGTTGATTAGGCAAACTGAAACTAATCAATGGAATGTGTCATGGAACTTGACAGTTGATAGAATACATTAATTGTTTGTATTGTGTGATTGTATATAGAACCAATGTGTTTATATACGTTATGTGTAGAGGAGGAGATAGGGGATGTACTCCGCGGTTTAGGGGAAGATAGGGGATGGACCTCTAAACCGGATAGGTATTTGGAGGAGATAGGGAATGTACTCCGTAGACAGAGCTCATACGCTTGTCTAGAGAAGTGAAGATAGAGCTCATATGCTTATCTTTGTGAAGCGAAGTGTGGATACAGCTTGTATGCTTATCTGTGGATATTGTTGATATACATATCTGTTATGAAGTGTGGATACAGCTTGTATGCTTATCTGTGGATATTGTTGATATAAGTTAGAATGTATTGAAGATTAATTTGTAGTATAGTTAGAATGAATGGGTTTTTCGATGTATAGAACTTGAAAGTGTTACAAATAAAAGCTAGCCTAGTATGTAGACAAGAACAACACCGACTTAAATCAACACATAGTTAACTTCAAATTAAATTGGTCAAATTTCTCCAATTAAATTAAATGAAATATGTAAGGTAAAAAAGTGAAATTAAATATATTGTCAAGGCAAAATAAATTGAATTATATTTGTGAGCGGAAAAATTAAATTAAATTTCTAAGCGTATTTGAATTTTGCTTAAAAGATGGAGCAAAATAAAGAGTAGTAAATAAAAGTCGAAGTGACAACTCCTATAAAGTTGATGCA